CACGTAGCAGTCCACGTGCAGCACTCCAAGTAGCTCGTCCACGGTCCACCATATGAGGCGCGTCAGAGCCGGGAACCCAACACAGGCTTTCTCCCCAAAGCTGGTGTCCGTGACCACCCCCCAGTTAGAGCACACGGTAGCATGAACTTGCCGGCAGTCCTGTCTTGGTGAATTGGATTGAATTAGCTTATCTCACATCGCTACAAATGCACCGAGGTTGGGGCCTCGGTGTAAGTCACATTTTTTGAAAGTGTAATCCAGCGAAGTTCCTGGGCGAGTTCTTTTATTCTCCTTCCTTCTCCGGCCCTGAATTTCTCACCTCTTGGGAACTGGTACTATTTTAGCAGACATGGGGTGAAACTGAAGGGAAAAAAAGACAAATGTAAAGAGTACCTTCCAGGAGAATCATAGCATCATTAAAATGCCTACAAGGTGGAAAAGGAGTCTAAACACACTTATTACACACAAATTACACAGCAATTCATCTGAGGCATTAGATTTTGCAGCAACGTTAGCATGTTTCAAATACTCTCCACTTTGGGCCTCTCCTTTTCGGCCCTTCTTCCGTTTTTAACAGCAAAGGTATTTTATGCTTTCGTTTCAGGGGATGATATAAAGAAGGAAGCAAAGGGGGAAAAACATAGTATTTTCCTGGCTCTACTGTTTTAAAAGCTTTGGATGGCAGGAGCCTGGAAGGGCCTCAGCTTTGACACAATACTTCTTGGAAAACGTCCTGAATCAGAGGAAAGCTAGGTAGGAACTGTGCAGACAGAAAAAGGAAGTCCCCCAGAGACAAGCGCAGGCCAACAACGGACAACCAAGTTGGACGGCAGAGGTCTCATCCAGGACCCTGGTAACCAGATTAAAGAGGAGACACGCCCACGGGACGTTTATCTCCCCAAATTTAAATACAATCCTGGAGCAGATAAAGAAAAAAAAAATTAACTGAGGTTAAGTGCTTTCCACTCTGGTGCAATAAGGGTTGGAAACCGAAGTTAGACTGCATTTCAAAAATCGATTGTAAGCTGTTTCTCCTGTATGCTCGGGCTTCTGGGCTAAGATTCGAGTCACACCTACAGCAGCTCAAGAACTGGGTACAAACCAGCGCACACTCCTGGCTGGCTGCTGTCCCCGAGGGCTCTCAGGGAAGGAGCGAAGGAAGAGGCTACAGGCCAGAAGTCAGGGAAATTTCTGGACAGCCGAAGGGACGGGCCACACTTCCCTGCCAAGTCAGCTCGGGTGAAAGGACAACGTGTCTCTTTATAGATGTCCCACAGCAGGAACGGCAAGCGGTTTCGAAACACTTCTTCTCAGGGAAAGGGCCAAGATGTTACATAAAGTTAAAAACCAGTGTGCAGCCCAAACCCCAAGACGAGCGAGCGCTGAACCCTCTCTGAAGGCGCGGGGAGCCCTGCTGCCCTGCACGGGTAACCTCCACCTCGGTGCTCTGCAGAGTCCAGGCCACGGCTCGCTTTCCTCCTTAAGAGGAGCTAGACAGGCTTCGTTTTGAGTCCAGAAAACGATGGGAGAAATCCATAGAAACGCAGGTGCTAAATCTAGCTCCCCTCTGATCGCCAAACATCCCACAAGTGTATCCAATTTCCCACGCGCTTTTGACTCAATCAATGGCTTGGAGACGGCGCAAGGACAGAAGGGACAGCAGAGGTGCCTCCCGCAGTGACGGAAGATTCTGGGTCCTGACATGCCAAGAGTGTTCCAGGGATCCACAGGAACCGCGTCACCCAGCAGCTTGTTAGAAATGGACGGTGGACCACACCCCAGGGCGGAGCACAGAGGGTTTTTATAGCAGGAAAATATTCTGTCTGATATTATAATGATAGGTACATGTCATTATATCTGCCTGCGATGTGGGAGCCCTGGGTTGAATCCCTGGGTCAGCTTGAAGGAGGACGCGGCAATCCACTCCAGTATTCTTGCCTGGAGAATCCCGTGGATTGTCCACGGGATTGCAGCTACAGTCCACGGGGTTCACAAAGAGTCGGACATGACTGAGCAACTAGCACACACACACACATGTCATTATAAATCTGTCCAAACGCATAGGATGTTCAACATCAAGAGTGAACCCAGGGACTTCCCCAGTAGTCCAGTGAGGAAGCCCCCTGCTTCCACTGCAGGGGTCACAGGTTCAGTCCCTGGTCGGGCACCTAAGATCCTGCATAGCAAGTGGCACGGCCAAAAGACTTTTTCTGAAAAAGACAGTGAACACAACGGTGAACGAGGGATTTGGAGGGATTGGCCCGCTCTGGTGAGTGATATGGATCTCGGCGGGNTGGACTCTGGGAGTTGGTGATGGACAGGGAGGCCTGGCGTGCTGCAGTTCACGGGGTCCCAAAGAGTCAGACACGACTGAGCAACTGAACTGAACGGAACTGTGTCTGATTCTTTGCGACCCCATGGACTGTAACCCGCCAGGGTCTTCTGTCCATGAGATTCTCCAGGCAAGAACACTGGAGTGGGCTGCCATTCCCTCCTCCAGGGGCTCTTCCTGTTTCATCTCCTGCTTTGGCAGGCGGTTGCCTTACCCTGAGCCACAGGGTCCACTCTAAACGGTGGGGAGCTCAGTCAGTTCTATGAAGGAAAGTTCACACCACTGTTTCTCAAACTTCGTTCATTCTAGAAACATTCACTCTTTTTTAAAAAACCATTTCCATATACAACCCTTACACATTATTTTAATTAGTCAGTTTACAATGAATTTGGTTTCTTCAGAAGCCACCTTCTAGTCAATAAGTAAGACCAATGAAATCAGAAATCTGATGCTCTAAATTGTGTTTTTTTTCCTAATCCACTTTAACGGGAAACCATAACTATGGAAATTAAAAAGTCACACCTGCATAAAAATGTGACTTAGAACTCCAGAAAGTCCCTTCATTCCTACATTTGCATGTTATTAGCTCTCAGTGGCAGCTCTGTTTTGACATTAAATCTCCTCACCCAAGTGGCAGGAGCAAAACTTCTTGGCTCGAGCAGGTCAGCCAGGGACCAGAGCTGAGGATCGACTGGCCGAAGTGATGCGCCTGCCGCAAGGCGGGAGGACTAGGGCGTGGCTCCTCTCCGCAGCGGGGCTGAGCGTCACACCCCGCTGCAAGCCCCCGCCGCTCCGGGACTTGGGTCTCGTTCCTGCAGCTTATGGAACCCCTCCCTTCATGTCGGGAGTCGGCGGGTCTCTACTGCAGAGCGAGGAGTCGCTATTTCTAAGTGTCAAGGCTTTCATTTCGCAGCTTTCTGACATCCAAGGGGCCCGATTTCTTTCAGAGCCGCTCATCAGAGTTTCTTTTCACGGAACCAAAGCCGCGTCTTGCTCTTCCTGCCATGCTGCTTGTCACAGAGCAGATTTCAAAGGCTGAGCTTCCCAGGCCAAATTCCACCCTCCTTAAACATGTTTTTTAAAAACAGCTCCTACAAAAGGAATGTGTGAGCAAGCTCCGTGAGTGACAGCCTCTGGCCCAGTTATTTCTTCTCAAAGTTTTTTTCTCTGTGACTTTCCTAGCGATATTCTAGTGATTCTTGGCAATAATAATTCACGGCTGAGGAACAAGGGTAAATTAGCAGTGTCTTTCTGCTCTGCTCTATGGCAAGCGTGAGAACATCCTTGCACACTATATTATCAATTCTCAGTTCAACTCTGGAAATATGTTTTGAGGGTCCCAGACAAACCACAGGTGTTAAATGCTTCCAGGTCACAAGACTTCCATGTGACATACTGCAGTCCTCACAGAAGAGGGATGTGTCTTTTCCACCCAACAAAAAAGTTGTCAACTTGTATTTTCTAAATCATGTGTCCTCACTGGGGGCAAAGTTGGTTCTTGGAGGCGAAGGTATCTTGGCTGTGAGAGTGGTATGTGGCCCTTCTTAGCTCACCTCAACCCAACAAAATCTTCTTCCCCCTAGAATTTAATTTCTCTCATCAGAGTGAAATTTAACTTTAATCAATTTAAGTAGTTCATTGAATTTAAAATTCAAGTTTTAATTTTTTTTTTCCTTAGGGGCAGTGATAACAGCGGGGTGGGGGGAGGTTGAGAAACACTGAAAATGCAATGAAATTGTATTTTAATTGTACTTCTCCTCTGACCTAGAAATTCTTCTGTTTTCCTCCTAGAGAAAAGTGTCCCAAAAGAAGCATTTACACGGAATTGCTGACAGCACCATCTTTTTTAATAGTGGATAAACCTGAATGTCCATCAGTTGAAAATGGTTAAAAAAAAAAAGTACATCTGTATTTTGAGATACTATGTACAAGTGCTCCTTGGAAGGAAAGCTAGGATAAACCTACACAGAGGATTAAAAAGCAGAGACATCACTTGGCCAACAAAGGTCCGTCTAGTCAAAGCTATGGTTTTCCCAGTGATCATGTACGGATGTGAGGGTTGGACCCTAAAGAAGGCCAAGCACTAAAGAATTGATGCTTTTGAACTGTGGTGTTGGAGAAGAGTCTTGAGAGTCCTTTGAACTGCAAGGATATCAAACCAGTCCATCCTAAAGGAGATCAATTCTAAATATTCATTGGAAGGACTGATGCTGAAGCTGAAGCTCCAGTACTTTGGACACCTGATGCAAAGAACTGACTCATTGGAAAAGACCCTGATGCTGGGAAAGATTGAAGGTGGGAGGAGAAGGGGACGACAGAGGATGAGATGGTTGGATGGCGTCACCGACTCAAAGGACATGAATTTGAGTAGACTCCTGGAGGCAGTGAAGGACAGGGAATCTTGGCGTGCTTCTAGTTCCTGGGCTCACAAAGAGTCGGACACAACTTAGCGACTGAACAACAACAAAGGACACAGTGGCATTTTCTGTTCCTCCTAAAAGTAAATAAAACGCTCCCAATAAAATTATGGCACAAAGTTCACTTATCACTTTGAATTTTTTGTCTACTTATTGAAAAAGCTGCTTTAGACATCAGCAATTATTTATCACAGATTCCTCATGTGTCTTAATGAGAAAGAAAATATAAGAGATATAAAATGTTCAGAGTCTGAATGATCTAAATCGTTTTTCAATTCAAGTCAGCAACCATCACATTTCTCCAAAATCACCCTTCAAGCAACCAACGATTCTCCTCCAGGATTTTCTTTTAATGCTGAAACCCGTTCTGCAGCTTTTGACGTTGGCGCTTTCTTGATCAGCAACAATCCATCACAACAACCTTTCATGTCTTTGAAATTTTCTTCATCAAGTCTGTGGAACTTCACAATTTCTCCTGCCTTCAATCACATAGCTTAGCATGGGATAAAAAAAGAAAAAAAGCCCCCTTGTGTGCATTTCCAAAATAAATAAATAAATAACAGCTTTATCGACTTAGGAATCCCTTCCTTAGGTCTCATGAAGCAGTCATCATCTGGCAAGAAAAAAAAAAACATGGAACTGTGATCATTTCTCTCATGATTAAAACTTGCTTCACAAATATCCAATTTATGCACAAACTGGCAATAATTGCAAGATGCATCCTTGATTTCAGAGATGTTAAAATATGGACAATATACATCCTAGAATTGATGACATAAAGTGCCCTATTTGGGGCTTCCTAGGTGGTGCATTTGTAAAGAATCCACCTGCCAATGCAGAAGACACAAGAGACTCGGGTTCGATTCCTGAGTCAGGAGTATCCCTTGGAGTAGGAAATGGCAACCCACTCCAGTATTCTCACCTGGAGAATTCCATGGACAGAGGAGCCTGGATATGTTAAGTGTCCTATTTGAGCTTCCCAGCAGCCCTGTGAAGCAATTACTGTGTTTACAGATGAAGAGCTGAAATGAAACTAGTGAAAAGAACTCTCCCAAGGTCACAGAGCCACTGAGCTAACACAGATACTCAACTTCAGAATCTTCTGATGCTATACCCAGAGCACATGATCTCCACACTCTGGCCTCTCAAGTCAGTAGAGTCATGGTCATCCCTGGCACCATTATCAACACGACGGTCACTGTCACCTCATCAGTCATCTTAGGCGTGGTCCTCCCCATCAGTGTCACGGTGAGGCAGACAGGAACTGGGCCTCTTTGTTGCACTGCTTGCACCTGGACGAACGTCTCCCTCAGCAACAAAACGCAAAGTAACATGAAAGCGTTACTTGGCTCAGTCATGTCCAACTCTTTGTGACCCCGTGGATTGTAGCCCACCAGGCTCCTCTGTCCATGGAGTTCTCCAGGCAAGAAGTTGGAGTGGGTTGTCATTGCTTTCTCCAGGGGACCTTCCTGACCCAGGGATCAAACCCTGGTCTGCACTGCAGGCAGATTCTTTACCATCTGAACCACCAAGGGACTGAAAATATTAATGCATGCATGCATTTGTAGTTGGGGCAAATGCTGGACAATGAGATACAAAGAGACCAAGAAGTCCAGCTGCCACTTCTAAAGAGCCAGGAGCGAAAGCAGAGTGCCCCCTGCACACGACACCACGTCAGGGGTGGGCAACCCCCCTAAGCCTGCCCTCCATCCTGATTCCTGGACACCTCTCTACCCTCACCCCAGGTAAGAAGCAGCTCAGCCCGCCTGAGTGGGCAAGGAAAACTGTTACTTGTTCTCGCTCCTTCCTGCGGCAGCAAGGGCCCTGGAAAGCCTTGCCTGAATCTCCTGTCCAGCCTCTTATCAATTTCTATTGATTAAGGAGGCCAAGAACCCCAGTCGGTAATGACAGTAATCAGCAGCAATGTCGTCATCATCATAGCTAATATTTACTGAGCAACTATTTACCAGGTGCTAGGTTCTATGCTGAAGTTAGCATGGTTTATAACTACCCTATAGATACGTGTATTATAATCTCATTCTACAAGCACTGATAGTAAGACTCAACAGGATCAAGTAACTTGTTTAACATTATTCATCTGAGGCCCAAATTCACCCCCTGGCCCTCTGACTGTAGATACCACACTCATAACCACTAAGGATTAAGTAAACGGCACAGCAAACTGTAGGCACTCAATAAGTGATACATATATTTGTGCCCAGCCCAGTGACTGGTATGTGGGAAATAAGCAATTATGACAACAGTAGGGGCTTTCCTGGTGGCCCAGTGGTAAAGAATTCACCTGCAGTGCAGGAGACCCGGCTTCAATCCCTGTGCTAGGAAGATCCCCTGGAGGAGGGCAAGGCAACCCACTCCAGTGTTCCTGCCTGGAAAACCCCACGGAGCCTGGCGGGCTAGTCCACGGGGTCACACAGAGGTGGACACGACCCAGGAACTGACACCGAGAGCCTGCCACTCCCAGACGACGCGATTTGGGGTCAGCCGTAAGCAGGATGAAGACAAGAGTGATGTCTAACGTCCTTACGGCGTGTCTCTCGTCCCCAGGGCGGGACTCACCCCATAGCGATGTTCTCCCTTACGTGTGAGTCTTTGCTCACTTCTAACTCCCTGTTACAAAAGCACAACCTTTGCCACCTGTCAAACTCAGCATAAACACACCCAAACTCACTGTCTTCTCCTCACTTGCTCCTCCTTCTTCTCAGAAGGCCCTTTAACTGCCTCGTGTTCTTCAGTAGCCCAGGGGCACCCTCCACTATGGTTCCAGCTCTGACCACTCTCCTGAATTCTGCCAGAGTCAGCCTCTTCCCCAGGCCTCCCTTCATCCTGGCCCATCCTACACACTGCTTCCCGGAAATGTGCAGAGTTGGAAAAGTCTGACTCCGTACGGATCTGCTTCTCTTACTTTCGCCTTTGTGCTCCGTTGCCTGGGCTGAGTCACGCTGACTCGGCACCTTCTGTACAAGGATGCTGCCCGTGGCCTGAGATATATAGGACAGCCAGTTCCCAAGGCTCTGACCTTTAAGGGCGTAACACTTTTCCATTCACACAGAGATAAAGAGTCGCAGAACAGAAAATAACATTTGTCTTGCTGGAGGTTGATGGGAAGATCTAGACCTGACCTAGGTAGACAGCTCCAAGAACAAAGGACTCCAGCGCCAAGAAATCTGCCCCAACCAACCCCACGCCCCTTCTCACCTAGCCTTTAAAAATGCCTTCCTGAGACCCTGTGGGGAGTCTGGGCTTGGGGGCAGGAGCCGGTCTCCTTGCATGGCCCTGCTATAAACCTTTCTCTGCTTCCAACTCTGATGTTCCGTTTGTTTTGACCTTCTGTGTCGGGCATGTGAATTTGTGTTCAGTAACAAAACCCATCTATTCACTCCGCTGCTTAAAAACTCGCCATGGCTCCTTACGTCCCGTCTAATAAAGACCAGATGCCTTAACGAAGCTTGTGAAGGCCCCTTCTAGCCCCTTCCAACCTCAGGTTCTCCCTTCTGTCACCCTGTACCTAAGAGCACCTGCCCTGCGCTCTTGTGTCCATGGGTCTGTCCACACCCCACGCTGCTTCTGTCTCATGCGAGGTCACAAGGCGCTCAAACCCCGGCATACGTGTTATTTATCTTTATACCTGCCTGGGCCGCTGCCCACAACACGAGTGCCTGGTTTGGGGAGGGTACTTAACGCAGAGCCCACAGGAAGGACATCTACTAGATTCATACTCAGGGCTCTCTCTCCCCACCTCGCGACTCCGCCCCAGGGAAGGAGAAAATGACCTGGCTGATTCATGAGTTTGGCAAAAGGACCTGAATTTGCTCGGCTCACATCCCTTCCTCCATCCTCCCTTTGAGGAACCAGCCGCTTATACGTAACCTGTATTCAAGCTGAATTCTCTTTTCTTCTTGGCCATCCAGAAAGTTTATTCAGGCAGGATCATCCCAGCAGAGAAGACTTCCACTTTGGGGGGAGGATGTAAGTGTGAACCAGGGGTGTGTAAACAAACCTACCAGCCAGATTAACTCCTGCCCTCTGACAGAGGGCTCTGTGAGTAAGAAAGGTGATATTTTTATCTCCATCTGTCTGCCTCTTACATCAATTTTTCAGCTCTTTCCAATTAAGGCAGGTTAGAGGGATGTTATATTTTAGGTTGTCTTAAGACCTAGTGTCTTGTACAGACAACGTGTATCTCATATGTGTCCTTGATTTAACTGACTTGAATTCTATCCCAAAGACTTATTTTCAGCTTTCTTATCCTGAGTGAGATTGAGCAAACAAAGCCTTACTTTAAATAGTACAACAGCGACATGGCATCTTTCAGCTGAGGAAACTGAAACATTTGGGGTTTGAGAAACATCACTTGTCACTTCACAAATAGCAGGCGGTTGGGAAAAGCCAAAAATGGATTTTCCATGTCAAATTTCTCTTCATCTATAAATCCTTCCCTTCTTAGAGAAATTTATAGGTTTCTGGCTTCCTTTTCCCTTTGGCCATCAAATTTAATTTCCCAGGAGTTTTTTTTTTTTTCTCTCTCTTTTTAGTTTTCTACTGGAAACGTAAAATTTTCCTGATTCTTGATGTTCCATATCTTCTAGCTTATTCCTTCCTTCCACCTCCACTCTCTTCTTTTATTCCTCTATAAATTCTAGAGATGACCAGACCTCCTGCTTCTCTAAGATCCATGCTGAGCCTTTGGATTTAACATCTCAAAACATCTGTCAACATTTTTCATCCTTCTCTCCAGCCTCTGATTACACACATGCGTGTCTCTCTCCAAAGTGAGCTTTTGACTTCTACCTTCCGTTGACACCAGGAGACCCCCTTTCCTCCATTCCTGTTACATCCGTTCTGTTTCTTTCTCTCCCCTGGCTCCTTCCCACCTGCCTTTAAACATACCCAGATCCCCTCATTTGGAAAAACCTCTCATTTTTCACTTTGCTCCATGCCCACCTCTAGCTGCTTCCCTCTGTTCCATTCACTATCGAGGCTCTAAAAACATCATCACACAGGTTCTACCTGTATTTCCACATCACTGTAATGCTCCACGATTCCATGACCTTTTGCTTCCAACCCAAGTGTTCAATGGAAAGAATTACTCTTGAAGTTCACCAACAGTTTCTCTAGTGACACATTCTTCGGTCTTCACTCCGTCCTTATTCTTCTTGATTTCTTTGCTTCTTTCAGCACTGATGGCCACTTTCTACCCTACCACCACCACCAGCTTATTTACCTGTCTTTTCGTCTTGGTCTCATGTTCTCTCAAAACGGTGATCCAGTCCTGAGTCCTGATAAACTTGACAGCAAGCATTCCTGGCGGCATTGTCACTTGACCTAACAGAACAAGCTGTTCAACCCAGTCATGGAGAACTCTTCCCATCTGACAGTGAGTGGTGCGGGGGTGAGCAGGTAGGCCACTTCTGACCCATGATAAAGGGAAGACCTCTCAGGAGCTCAGGGAAACATTTTCCTTCCTGTTGGAGAGAGGCCCAAGGAGAAAAGCACTTTTTCCTGCCCGTCCCTTTTTTCTTGGGATGTTGTCACAGAAGAACATGAAATCCTGAGCTGTGCCACCTTGTCACCAAGAAGGAAGGTCAAGCCAAGACTGTGTCTGACATCAAGGGAAGCTTCCAAGTCAACGCTGTAACTTCTGACATGTTTGAGTAAAAATAGGTCTAGATGTAAGTATTAAGTATTGGCTGTATATCTATTACTTGCAGCCAAATACACTGAAACATTCTTCCAAAAGTCTCTGCCTCATCCATTCTCAGAGAACACATTGTGATGTCTATGCTGATGTCATCAAAATCCTTATCTCCAAATGTCTCTCCCACCCCCGACTCCCCAGGTCCTAGATGTTTCCCCCTCGGATTCTCACACCATCAGCTTAAAGCGGCATGTTCAAATCCAGACTGGTCAGTTTCCCCCTAAAGTCAGCCAATCTTTAGTCACCTTCATGAAGACTAAGAAGCCCCTTGAGCTTTAATAGAAGAATGTGCAGTTCAAACTAGCTAGTTGTGGTGGGGGGCAGGGTCAATGTGCAGACACGACAGACAGAATTTAATGTTCCTGTCTTAATGAGGCTTATCTCTGGGTGTGCTTGGAATTTCATGATGGATAAGGGTATAAAGGCATGGATGACGCACAGGATACCCAGCAGGAAGTGGCCAAACATAAAGCTGAAATGAAGACCATCAGGAGACCACGAGAGATGCCTTCCTAAAGAGCTAGGCTTCGGTAGCGTAGATTGTGTCCGATTTTAAGCTGTGGAACAGCATGATCAGATTTACATTTTGCAGAAATAGCTTCAGCGACAGCATGAAGAATGGATCAGAAGATGAAAGCCTGAGATACCGGAGCTCTCAGGGCGGTTAAGCAAGCCAAGCAGCAGTTGCCAAGATCCCTTCTTAGCTAAGGTAGCCCTGCCAACGACAGAGCAAAGCGTGGTGAGAATCCCCCTGACACGGGATGCCTCCATCAGGCACTCCTGGCTCTGGAGCGCTCCGATGGGCTCAGACTATCAGAGCTGCCTTGCGGTCAGATGGCCCCCTCTGCCCAGGAAACCTTGTGCACTTAGCCTCTGCGTCCCAGAGAAAACAGCTGACACCACGTACATGAGTTAACACTGATTATTTGATTTGGTTAAATAAGCATTTAATAAGCATTAAAGAGATGAGAGGCTGGTAATTTCCTCAACGAATCAAAACTACCTAATACAGCGATTCTTACTCAAAACAATTCACTTTCTATTAATGTGCTCAGCCCTCCCTGGGTTTTTACTTCTCTTAACTTAGAATATAACCATATTCCATCAATATTCCCTCCAAAATATCATCCATTTCTGTTGTTCTACTTTGTTCTTAAAATTTACCTTGCAATATTACACAGGAGAAATAAACAGGGATGAATGAACAAATCATGGTGAAAAGAATTCATTCAAGCCCCTCTGTGTATGTCATTACTGATTATTTTCCAGATTCAACTATATTTGATATAAACCACAATCATTCAACACATAACTCCACATGGCAAAAGCTCTGTATAGTGAGATGAACATACAAGGGTTATATTATGTCTGTTCCCAGGACATCATGGTCAGAAGCATTGCCAATAGAAGTAATTGAAAAGATTCTTGTTTCTGAGAATCAAACCGTTCAGTTAACAAAGACAGAGATTCATTTTCTTTCTTCCTTTTACGCCAGTCATCATTGATCCCAGATTAATCTTCCAAGAAAAGCACATAGAACTACAAATATGTTGGCATTTCCTTCTTGCAAGAAAAACAACAAAGTAGATAAAAATCTGCTTTCTCAGATTCTAGAGAGCCAGTACTATATTACTGGTATCCTATTCATCTTTCAGGGGTCAGCAACCCTACCAACCATGGACCTAATCTGGCCCACCACTTGCTTTTATAAATAAAGTTTTATTGAAACACAGAGATGTACTTAGTTTATGTATTGTCCCTGGTTGCTTTCCTACTTCAATGACAGTGTTGAATCACTGCAACGAAGACCATCAAGCCACAAAGCCTAAAACAGTTATTATCTGGCCCTTAACAACAACAATAAAAATTGCCCTAGTTAAAACAGCATGGTATTTTCTCACATATTGGGTATTTGTTCACTCATCATCTTTCATTCATAACATTTTAACTGACATCTTAACATCACTGCTAATGTGTCAACCTGAAATTAGCAATGATTTTTGAAGATCACAATGAATGCTCTCCTTTACTTTTGATTAATAGGTGATCAGTATTTTTCAATGAACCTAATTTTTAAAAAATCTACCACCCAGAAGCTATTTAGAATTTTGAGTATTGCACGCAATATTTATTCATGTTTTAGTCTAGCTTTAAACTTTAAGCTTTAAAACAAAAAAAGATTAATCTCCAAATGAGGCTGGAAATATAACCATAGCCTTAAGAAAAATTAAAAGATAATTATGCCCTAGCTACCATGTTTTCCTTTCTTTCCTTTTGGAAAGATTGCCTCTCTAAATAAAAGATGCCTGCCTTTTTAAATGCCTTTCATCCCTGGATCTTTTGACGTCACAGACCTTCTTATTTTAATGGAGCAACATCTTCCTAGGAACTTATCAGTGAATCATAGCCTGAGAATGAAGAGGAAAAGGAGGAGGTCTGCCCTGAAAGAAAGTGATACAGGGAGGTTCCAGCCTTGATTCTGTGCTCTAGGCAGTGAGGGCTGTGCAGGCCACAAGTCTGTTCAATAAAGGCTTACAGAACAAGAACTGTGAGCTGGATCTTATACCAAGGAATTGTCTTCAAGACACCAAACCTTTCAGTCTTTTTCTACTTCTACATACAAATATATGCAAAAATATATTTTAGTGGGTAATAATGTATAAGTTGCAATTATTACATGTTTTTACCTAATAATATAGACACATTTTCATGAAAATAAATAAATAGAGGAGCTTCCCTGACGGCTCAGTGGTTAACGACTCTGCCTGGCGATGCAGGAGACACGGGCTCAATTCCTGATTCTGGAAGATCCCACATACTGCGGAGCAACTAAGTCTGAGCGCCGCAACTACTTGAGCCCGCGCTCTAGAGCTTGGAAGTCTCAGCTGCTGAAGCCCTGGAGCCGGAGCCTCAGCAGGAGACGTCCACACGGTGAGAAGCCCGTGCACCGCAGGAGAGGGCAGCCCCCGCTTGCTACAACCAGAGAAAAGCCTGCATAGCAACAAAGGCCCAGCACAGCCAGAAATAAGTAAAATTATTAAAAAATAAATAAAAATAGAGCTTTATCTTATAGATGAACCATCATTTTGCTTACCCAGTTCTCAATTTTGGAACACTGAGTTTATTTCCTTTTTTCTTCCCTATATAGCAGCAATGACCATTCTCTACCTAAACACTCATGTACACCTTTGATGATTTCCTTAAATTTTTTAAAATGGAATGGAGAGGCCAAAGTCTGTGCCGATTGTCAATTTCTTGTCTCCGTTCCAAATCTATTCCTCTTCCCCCTGCTTTGTGAAACCAGAGCGGGACCCTGTACACGCTTCTCCCCCGCCAGTTGGCAGCACGTGGGGTTTATCAACAGAGGCTGTTGGAGAAACCCCGCCAGGCAGAGGTGGTGGGAAGACCACGGGCCCCTGCGCACGGCGGCTGTGAAGTGAGGGGCCACAGGTGAGGCTGGCGGGGACGCCCGGCCGAGACGCGGAGAGCCGGAGCAGGAGCAGAAGGGACCGCGCACTTCCAGGAGGGAGGCGGAGCGACTTGGACAGAGCCTGAGGATGGTGAGGCCCACGGCCCAGTCCCGCCCCTGGGACTTCTCTCTGCCCGCAGCCTCAGCCACACTCAGTGTCTGACCGCCACCGGCGGTTTGCCCTTGACCTTTATGCAGCAGAGGAAAACCTGTTTAGACAGTTTCTACTTGAGTTAGGAATATTGCTTCCTGAATGGAGCTCAGACAAAACGGGTGTGGAAGAAGGGAAGTCATAAGACTGGTGATGGCTCCGCGCCCACACCCTTTGCCGGCCCGGAAACGCAAACCACGCTTCCTCCTCGTTGTTACCGACGCAATGCCGACGGGTGCCCGACTCCTTCATCCCTCCCCGGGAGGCCTAGTTAGGCACATCCAAAGCTTCTTAGAAACTGGAGACCTGCTCAAATTTGATTGCAAAAAAGAAAGTGGCTCCAAAGACCCCAAAATCCCGCCAGCATCCTCAGCTGAGCAGAGCAGCTGGCGATGGGATCATCCGGGCACCCCTCGCGTGGACGCGGCACTGTAGGCCACCACGTGGCATTGCTGACGACGGTCCTTTTCTGGCGTCTTCCTTCTCAGTACTTTCCTGCCTTCGTGCCTCTCATGAACAGTCTCCAACCTTCCCTAGTGTATGACAGGAACCAAGAAGCAATTGTATTTCTGGCAAACACATCTCTCACACTCACCACGTGCTGAGGGCTGTTCAAAGCGGGTTATATACTTAAAGTCCCTTAGTGAAAGTGAAAGCCGCTCAGTCGTGTCCGACTCTTCGCGATCCCGTGGGGTATACAGTCCATGGGATTCTCCGGGCCAGAACACTGGAGTGGGTAGCCTTTCCCTTCTCCAGGGCATCTTCCCAACCCAGGGATCTTACCCTGGTCTCCTGCATTGCAGGCTGATTTTTTACGGCCTGAGCCGCCAGGGAAGCCCAACCCTATGGAGTAAGCTCTATTATTAGGTTCATTTACAGATGATGGGGCTGGCAGAGGCCAAAGGGATCTCCCACCAAGCCACAGGGGGAGGAAATCGAGTCTGACCCACAAGCCCAACTGCGGCTGAGAGTTCTGACTCCAGGAGGGCAGGAGGGGGTTAAAGAGCCAAGTTCACAGAAGGGGGACGTTCTGTGCCTGGGCGGGCAGCTCCTGGCAAAGATGCCTCTTCATATCCAGGAAGGGGTTGAGGTGGGGGATGCTGCCTCCGCCGTCAGACCAGCACGTCTCCATCCCACCAGCTCATTAAACGGAGGAGCCAGGAGTTCAGGGCCGGGCAACCACCTCGCCCTCCTTCTTCCTCAAAGGAAAAACGGGGTGGGAAGGGGTGTGAATGACCTCACAGGATACCAGGGGAAAGCCTAACACAGTCCTTCAGTGATTCATTTGGGCGGACCCGCTTTCGCACCCAGCTGAGCACGAAGTTCGGAGTGGGGTCAGCGGCAGGGCCGGCTCCTTCGCGGGAGGACACATTCCCGCTCGGTAGACGCGGGCACACCGGGAATTGGGCTCCATCCAGACAGGAAGTCGGCAAGATTCTAGGTAGAACCGGCGCCTTCTTTTCAAAGGTCAAACTTTTTCCCTAGCTGAGCGCGGCTGTTCCCTGAGCGCCTACTACGCGCCAAGCGCCGGACACGCGGTCCTTCCGGATCTGGACGGGGCTCTGCGGGAAGACGCAGAGAGCGAAAGGGCCACACGCGCGCGCACACACACACACGCACGCACACACACACACACACACACACACACGCACGCACACACACACACACACACACACACACAC